TTATTAAAAATAATTGAAGATATGTATATTATATAATATTAATTCATTAATTTTAAAAATAATTAATTAATAAAAAAATATTATTACTAAAAACAAATGAAGTAAAGGAAAGGCGTGCAGGTGCAACATGCAAAGGCGTGCAGATGACAAACGGCGTCACAAAATCAGTTAAGGGAGTGTGACAGGTATTAACGGTGTTTGTTATATTTGACGGAAGTTAGTTTTCCGTCCAATTGGGACCTTGTTTGAGAATTCCGTGGAGTTCGGGACCTTAATTGAGTGCAATTGAAGTTTGGGTCCAACATTGCGAATTTTGTGTAAGTTTGGGTCCTTATATCATTTATGCCCCTACTAGTATATACGTAAACGGTATAATGTAAAACTGGTTAGTCTCGTCAATGCGACGACTGGGTGGACAGGTCTTTGGGTGAAGAAAATTGGACAAAACTAGCCCCACTTAGGGAGTGTTCGGTTGGGAAGAACTTTTTTCCTTGAAGTCCTCTAAACTCTCTCTTATAAAGGTTTTTTTTTTTTTATATATATATATTTTTATACATTAATAGTATAATAAATTAAGGATAAAAATGATATTTTTAACATTTATTTTTCTTAAAATAATTTCAAAAGGGAGAGGTTAAATCCCAATTTCATTCTTCAACTATTGTATAAACCTTTTAGTTGGTATTTAAACTAAAAAATTCTTAATTTGGTCTTTAAAGATTTCAAATTTGGCTCAAATTTGGTTCTTTTATTAAAAAACAGCTAATATGTCTGTTACTTGGGAGCAAAAGGTTGTTACTTAATGGTCACATGCATTGTTGTCAAAATCTAGATTTAAATCTTAAAATCTTACGATTTTATGATTTCAACAAGATATTTCGTGTAAAATTTATACTAAAATCTGAAATTCATAAAATCTGGGGATTTTAGGGTAAAATATAGATTTTACCGTGAAATCAGGTGAAATCAAGTCAAATCTCAATCTTACCTTCTGTTTGGCAGCTGGACATTTAGCTTATTTCATTTTGGGCTTCTCATTTTGGGTTACTGAGTTTTGATTAGATAACCCATAAATTAAGCTCATTTTTCATTTTAAAAACCCACAATTCACACAACCCAACCACAAATCAACATTTTAATCGAGAATTCGGGACAAATTTGATTTAACCATCTAAAATTCTAAATTTAAGTCATCTTCTTCGTTTAATTTATTTGTGTTGTTGGATATTTAGATTTTAATTAGCTAATTTCAAGTTTCTAACTCTAAATTTGATTTATTGTTATTTAATTTTGATTTTATATAATTTATTATATATTATATATTAAATTTTGTAAAATCTCGATTTTACCAATTCGATTTTACGATTCCGATTTCATCTCACCAAAACGATTTTAAGTAAAATCTCGATTTTGACAACCTTGGTCACATGTTATGTTAATAATAAGACGTAAGCACTAATGATCTATTAGTTAGAGTGAAAAAAGTTTGATTCCTTTAATTAAGGTCTTAAGTTCGAGTTTTGTGAATAGAAAAACAGATACTATGAGAGCTTTCTCTTTTATTTATGAGATATGATGTGGCTTTTAGATACCAGGAGGGACTAACTTGGAGCAAAATTTAAAAACTTTAAAAATTAAATTAGAGATTTTTTTTTGTTTAGGGACCATGTCAAAAGTTTTACAACAATTGAGGGACCGAATTAAGATTTTAACCAAAGGAAAAATGTTTCCCTATAACTGTCTTCATGTTGGGTCCATTTAATAACTTTCCCTACTACCTTTTCTTATATTAATTTTTTACTAAATATAACAAAATTAATAACCCAACAAAATACTAACAAAACTTCATTACAAAACTTAACAACTTTTCATACAATATTTATTAAGTTTTTATATAGTATTTTCTTAACTATTTTATAAGTAAAAACCTTTTCGGTAAAATTACGTTCTAACTAAATAAGCCCTTACTGTACACTATTTTTATTTATTTATTTGTTTGTTTGCCATCTAACTAATACATTTTGTTTATTTGTGACTTTGAATTTTTTTTTAAATTTTTATAAATTTTGCAATGAGTGAAAATAAAAACTAAGAATTAAAAATTAAAATTTTTTAAAACACATAAAAATAAACAAAACTTTTCTTTTTTGGAGTTCCAAAATTTATTAAAATCAAAACTAAAATTCCAAAACTATAATCATACTAAAGAAAAATAAGATCATTTCACTCACTACCTTGTACTTTTTATGTGGGGTTTCAATTAGATCCTTAACTGTTCACTCTTACCACTTGGATTGATTAATCCTAATAATTTAAAATTATAAAAATGTGTCACGTACCATGGCTCATAAATTAGTTTTTAAAATAATTTAACCAAGATTTTTTTTTAACAAGGTAATTACATTACAGCTATATATTTAAAAGACAGAGATTAATAATAAAGACTATTAGTTAAATTAAATTAAAAATTTTAATTTTTTTAATATGGTTATAAAATTATTGTTACTGATTAAAATAAACAAAAGCTTACCTTAATTGATAGTCACTAATAACAAAATCTTGATATGAAATCAAATTCAAAGGTTTAAATTTCTATATTTCCTAAGTAGTTAATGCAATTCAAGATTAGGGATGGATTCTGATAAAATAGAAGTGAAGGACTAAATCGAAACACGCTAAAAGGGAATGGTTCAAGCAATTGACTTAAAAAACCTGAAATTCCCCGTCAACGTTTAAGAGTGGGCCCTCTTCTTCGCTGTTTCTAAAAATATTCAGGGGCAAAAGAGTCAAAGAAAACTGCATTTCAATTTTATCTTTTCTTCTTCGATTAGTCTCCAGCCAGATCGATCCATCGAATTCAGGTCAGGGTTTTCTGAGCTTCCGGTCAGTTCCCTTTATCCGCTCTCTGATTTTCGCGTTATTTTCTGTTATTTTTAGCGTTTGGTTGCCGAGAAAGCTGAGGGGAAATTTTTGACTTTTTTGCTTTCTCTTTTTCGATCCACGAAATGGTTTTTCTGGCTCTAGGTTTTTCTGTTCAACTCTTACTTTCCTTCGTCTTAATAAGCAGATATAAAAAATTTCCAAATACATCTGAAGTAGTTCGCGCGAATTCTGCTGATTTCTTGCCCTTTTTTA